TGAGACGGAGTTTCGCTCTTGTTACCCAGGCTGGAGTGCAATGGCGCGATCTCGGCTCACCGCAACCTCCGCCTCCTGGGTTCAGGCAATTCTCCTGCCTCAGCCTCCTCAGTAGCTGGGATTACAGGCACGCGCCACCATGCCCAGCTAATTTTTTGTAGTTTTAGTTGAGACGGGGTTTCACCGTGTTGACCAGGATGGTCTCGATCTCTTGACCTCGTGATCCACCCGCCTTGGCCTCCCAAAGTGCTGGGATTACAGGCTTGAGCCACAGCGCCCGGCCTTCAAATGTTTCTTTAACTGCAAATACATTGCTGTTACGTATCAACGGTTAAAATATAAAACATTTTTATCATTCCTTTTAAAACCCAACAATACTGCCAAAATAATGCTACCTATAGTTATGAAATACTGTTACATTTTCTGTTCCTGACATCATTCACTTCCCTATATCCTACTTCCTTTACAAAAAGAAAAAAGAAAAAAAAAAAAAAAAAGACTATGATGCTCAGGCCATGGTAAATTTTGGGGCAACGCTCATTTTCCTGTACCGTACTCTTCATACTTCAATCCACTCCTGTTTTAGACATCATTTCATTTGATTTTTCTTTTACAAAAAGTAGTTCACCTACTTGAATATATTATACAAGATTCAAATTAATAAACCAAAAAGAATCCAGAAAATTATAATTATCTGATTATCTTGCACATGTAAATGTTAACATAAATTTTAACAAATAACTGTGATCCAATCCTGCCATCTGCTGTTTCAAATGTGAAATCATACAGCTCAAAAGTAAGAAACATGCTCAGTAATAACAAAGTGGTTAACACAGAATTTATGCCAATTCCAATTTTATAATAATGTAATTAAATGGCTGAGTAAAGAAAAGCTTATAATAAACCCACGCAAGAGATCCGTATTTTTCCTGGCTTTCAAAAGACAAAGTATTTTTATTAAAACCTTTGTTATCAGGGTAAATGTATACATTTACATTTAGGAGATTTCAGCTCCTGCATTTCCCCAGCCCCATTTACTTAAAGTTACTGATGCCTTTCGTTTATAGGATTAGCATTGTGTGGTTCCAAGTAAAGCCTCAATGGAATAAAAAATATATTAGTTGTCTCATCCTCCAGCAGGAATAGGATTTGAAAGTCTGGTTACCTTAAACCTAACAACTGTGATAAGCCCTGGAAACGTGCTCCTCTTTTCAGAAGTCAGTAACTCTGCAGACCTACCTTTGGATACTATTCATTGGGTTGGTGGCTAGCCCTGGAATGGCCACTTCTTTCAATTAAAACTTTCCCAGCACCCAGTCCTAAGTTGCTCCTAATTTCCTCAAACTATCTTATGTTCCCAGGGATCCAGCACATTTTGTACCCAGCCTATCAAGTTTTAGGACAAGACACATTAGCTTCTTTTTAATAACCATATTCTTTACTATACCGTATTATTACTAAACATGTTGTCTTATACCAAAAATACTTCAACCATTCCTTTCTACTTCTAAAATTATTTGAAACATTATTGACAGAAACAAAGTAGATGCATTCAATTAAAGTGTTTTAAAAGGCTCTGCAGATTTTACCTTGAAATGCCAAATTCTTGGTGAGGCCTTTTGCCATTATTACGTTCCCACCTTGAAGACTGTTCAACAGGTAGCAGTCCTGAAGTAACTGAGCTCCTCCTCAGCTGTGGAGTTTGCAAACTGTTCCTATTTAGTCCCTGTTGAATAATTTAACAATGGTTAAAAATGTCACTCTTTAATATGCCATATATGTAATATTAATGATGGCACATGAAAATGTCAATATTTTTAACATGTATGAAGAAAAAAGGAACATTCTATTCTGAGAATCTGTCAATTTACTCCAAATTTTACTCTATTTTGTTATTCTATTCCTCTTCCTCCTACTAAAAAATATGTCTGAACTCTAATTTAAACTAGATTCTTTTTCTTTTGTAATTTTATTGCTTGTTTCATGAGAAAGAAACAATTAGCAATCTAAAAGTGGATATGAAAGATTTACCCTGAAAATCAACTTCAGAGGACAATCTTAGGATCAGGGATAATCAGCCCTATAATCTAAATTTTTTATAATAAAGTGCTATAGAATTTACTTAGTGGTTAATCAGGAGAAACTGCAGGAAGGATTCTGGGCTTAAATAAATGATTGAGTTAAATACAGAACACTTTTAGCATTAACATTTTGCCCTAATTTTTAAAAACATTCTCAACTAACCCAAATGTTCAATTAATAATAATATTCCATTTTTGACCATTATAAATAAGTGTTTTACTGAGATTTACATAATAGTTTCTGCTTCTTATGAATTTCTTCTATCACCAGACACTGCAGCAATCTCAGAGATAAGTATCTGTCTTATATATCAGTTTTCTCAAGGACACTGATTTTGTAAAGGTTAACAGTTAATTATGCCTCCGGGAAAAAGTTCTTTATGTTAATATCCTTGTTGACTATAATTTAGGTTCATATGATCTTTCTTTGTTCTTAACGTATATAAGATAATTATATTAAGTTAACTGTTCCTTTTCCCTTTTGCCTACTGTTTTTTCTATAAATGTCGTGGCTATTTTCTGAAGTTGCATCAAGCTTCTTATATGCTTTCCAAAAGGAGAGACAAATTAGACATAGAATTCTAATAAGGAGTTTAAAGAACATAAAGAAAAGGAATAAGGGTTACTTCCTGGTTCTTATATGACTTAGTCTATCAGTAGATTCCAGAACCTAAATTAACCATGATTAACTACAATGCTCAGGAAATGAGGCATTTAGGCATCCTGTTTAATTAATATTATGTTTAAAATGTTTCTAAAATATACCAGTACAATTTTCTACACACTAAATACTGATATTAATATGATTTTTGATTAAAATTTTTAAGAATTACTATTTTTAAAAATTTCTATCCTGAGTATCAAATATTAATAGAAAACGCAAAGAGTATTACAGAGTGAAAACTGCCTCAAGAATATATTAGAATTATTTTATTGATGGTTTGTTGCTATGCCCTCTGGATGCTTGTGATTAACCTCTTTCTTATAAGGTAGAGTGCTAAAACAGAAGTCATACAACTAAGCACTAATTAATTGGGTTTGACTAATGTAGGTGCTACTACATAAACTTTAAGAAAATAAAAGCATCAAATAACTATGATCCAGATTGTAATGAATGCTTTTGAAATCCTTTTCCTCTAATTGGGTTTGCTTAACTTTTCAACATTTCTAAACCCCAATGCTGACAACTGATAAAATTAACTGATGATCAGAATCCCTACAAAAACTGTATTTACCTATTTCTAAGTTCTATAAGCTTTATTACAATTGACAAAATTAACTGAAACAAATTTCATCTTTTCTTGGTTAGTTTCCTTATCTGGAATAAAGTGGTTGAGTAAAATAATTTTTTAAATGTTTCTAGTTTTGAAGTTTTATGATTTTAGCTATTGTCAAAGATATCGATAATAGTCAAATAAAACAAGTAAACGCACTCTGAACAAGGATAATGCATATCCATTTCAAACAGTATTTATTTTCTAAAGAAAATCCTATTTTGAAATATTAATATTTTAAAGTGAAATTAATCCTCTATTCTAATGATAGAAAAATCAATGCTTACTGAATTACAGTAATCTACAGTAGGTAACGGGGGAAAAGAAGGTTCAAAAAACATAAAAATAATTTTAAAATAATGCTGTGTAATTCATAAAATGAATATTATAATGACCATTTCTTCTTGATTCAACAAGAACAATTCCTGGATTCTAAAGAATAAAATAGAGCAATAACACGATTTGACTACTAGTTTGTTGTACAAGCCTGAAACGAAATTTGCTTGTTGTAGCCTACTTCTTAACAAGAATAATAATACATAGTTACCATTCAAATTATAACTACTAATCACAGCAATGTATTTAAAATAAAAACTGAATACTCTTCTATAATTATTTCAGCTTATAAAGGCCTATAACATCCCAAGCAGCTCTATATTATGTCTGGTGCTTGAAAGGAAAATTGTATTTTATATAGACTTTAAAGGAGCAGTTAATTTGAAAATATCATTAAATTTGATAAATAGGGTTGCATGATTTTTGTATTTTGACCTTGTTAAGTTTTCTATCCCCTTTCTCAGCTGGGTCCTCTATTTCAGAGCACGGATAAAATCCAGGAAATGGTGTGAGAGGATTAATCTTTGGCCTACAGGAACCTGAGAAAGCACTCATTAAGCTACTGATACTCTGTAGAGAGGAAACAACTTGTGGTGGAAGGCTTGGATCAATCAGAAGATCTGACACCATATTGCGAGCCTCATTTAGCACTGAAAGATCAACTCCGTTTCCGCCTCCAGGATTCTAGAAAGAAAAAAAGTAAAACTTTCATTCATTTGTACATGGCATAAATTATATAACAAATGGTATAATTCTAACTTAAAACATATATACATATGTAGCAAATAACTGTAAATTTTAATTTTTTCTTAATTTTTTGTTAGCTGATTATCTCATATTTAATGGTATTAATTACTAACACTGATCTTATGACTAGTATAAAATTCAAACTGTATTTAAAGTGTGCAATTTGAACATTTCATTAATTCATTAATTATTTCCTTTCCTTTATAACAAAATTTATTTTAAACACACAAAGCATTTATTTCATTTGCCTTACTCACTTATGAGGCCGCCTAACATAGTGACAAGGTTTTGTAGCAAACATAGCTGAATTTGAAACCTAAACTTTAACCTAAATTATGTGATCTTGAGTAATGTATTTAACTTCTGAACATTTTAGTTTCTTCAATGTAAAATCATAATAATGTCTACCTTATTATGGGCTCATGAAAAATCTGGTAATATAGGTAAAGCAAATAAAGCAGTGTATAATGTATGATTTAAAGTACAAAAAAAGTATTATTACTATTAATATTATGGAAAGTGAGGAGATAAAAATACAGAAAAATGTTAAATCAGAGTTCAAAAGAGATAGCAATAACTTAAAGATGAATAATTAACAAAAACCTCAAAGACAGGGTAGCATCAGTCTAGGCCTTAAAAAATTGGCAAAAAAGGAATTTTTAAATTAGAAGAAATATGTTACTGATGTAAACATATGAGGTGACTTTTAGTTTCTGAAAATACACATATGTGATGTTCAACTTGATTAACCATAGAAATAAGTGGACTAACAATCAGAACAATAAATTAAATGTTACTTGTGTTTGTTTTGTTGAACCTTGAACTTACATTTGGAAATGTTTGGAATTAACAATTATTCAAATTAATAATTTCACAACAAAACTCTTTATTAAAGTATCCTCAATATATTTTGGAACTGAGAAATATTATGAAAGTTACACCAATATAGCTAAATAATATCTGCTCTTTGTGAAATTTTTTTTCTTGTGAAGTGTTAATATATATTAGGTTTTAATTTAAAACATTTTCTGATACCAGGACATAACCAAGCTATTTCTAGCCTTTCTCCACTGCAAATAACATTAAAATAAACACCGGTCTATATACATTACTGTGAACAATTAAGCATACTTCTTATAGACAGCTTCCCATAATCTGAATTGCTGAATGCAAATTAACATGTTAAAAGTTGGTCATTTCTCTAAAACTGCCTTAGAATATGTTAATCAAATGTATACTTCTAATTGCATTTAACAGCAACTATTTTTTCATACCCCATTACAATTAGGAACTATGAAATTAATTAATCACTATCTACATGATAGGCAAAAAAACCCACCTCTAATTGCTGCTTCAACCTGAATTCTCTTATTATTGTGATTCTAAATGTTCCTTATAATATTTCTATAGTTTATACTCCTTTTCTGTGAACTTTGTCAATTTAACCACTCATTAGAATTCCGTAGGGTCTCATTGAGCCACCACAGAATTCAAATGGAACACGTACAAAACAATTTTTGTTTGCAAGTAAACTTTCCTCAATACTGCCTAAAAACTGTTGAAATTAGGAAAGAATAAATCACAAATTTACTGAGAGTACAGTGTGACTTTCACTTTTACAATACAAGGTAATTAGAATTCACTCATAAATATCTCCCATTACAACAGGAATACTTCATGTAAAAAAAAAAATCATTTTCACAGACAAATCCTTTTACATGGTCCATTTTTCCTTTTTTTCATATTGTATCCTTTTAAGGTAAATACTGGTCTTAAGTTTACCATTTTATTGTTTTCTGTTTGTTTCTTCTGTTCCTTGTTCCTCTGTTTTTGTTTTGCTTTTATACTTTAAATTCAGGGGTACATGTGAAGAATGTGCAGGTTTGTGACATAGGTACACACATGCCATGGTGGTTTACTGCACCCATCAATCCATCATCTACATTAGGTATTTCTCCTAATGCTATCTCTCCCCTAGCCTCCCCACCCCCCAACAGACCCCAGTATGTGACGTTCCCCTCCCTGTGTCCATGTGTTTTCATTGTTCAAGTCCCACTTATGAGTGAGAACGTGCGGTGTTTGGTTTTCTGTTCTTGTGTTAGATTGCTGAGAATGATGGTTTCCAGCTTTATTAATGTCCCTGCATAGGACATGAACTCACCCTTTTTTATGGCTGCATACTATTCCATGATGTATATGTGCTACATTTTCGTTATTCGGTGTATCACTGATGGGCATTTGGGTTGATTCCAAGTCTGCTATTGTGAACAGTGCCACAATAAACATACATGTGCATGTGTCTTTCTAGTAGAATGATTTATACTCCTTTGGGTATATACCTAGTAATGGGATTGCTGGGTCAAATGGTATTTCTGGTTCTAGATCCTTGAGGAATTGCCACACTGTCTTCCACAATGGTTGAATTAATTTACACTCCCACCAACAGTGTAAAAGCGTTCCTATTTCTCCACATCCTCCCCAGCATCTGTTCTTTCCAAACTTTTTAATGGTCACCATTCTAACTGGTGCAAAATGGCATCTCAATGTGGTTTTAATTTGCATTTCTCTAATGACCGGTGATGATAAGCTTTTTTTCATATGTTTGTTGGCTACATAAATGTCTTCTTTTGAGAAATGTCTGTTCATATACTTTGCCCACTTTTTGATGAGGTTGTTTGTTTTTTTTCCTGTAAATTTGTTTAAGTTATTTGTAGATTCTGGATATTAGCCCTTTGTCAGGTGGATAGATTGCAAAAATTTTCTTCCATTCTGTGGGTTGCCTGTTCACTCTGATGATAGTTTCTTTTACTGTGCAGAAGCTCTTTAGTTTTATTAGGCCCCATTTGTCTATTACGGCTTTTGTTGCCATTGCTTTTGGTGTTTTAGTCATGAAGTCTCTGCCCACCTATGTCCTGAATGGTATTGCCTAAGTTCTGAATGGTATTGCCTAAGTTTTCTTCCAGAGTTGTTATGGTTTTAGGTCTTACATGTAAGTCTTTAATCTATCTTGAGTTAATTTTTGTATAAGGTGTAAGGAAGGAATCCAGTTTCAGCTTTCTGCTTATGGCTAGCCAGTTCCCCCAACACCATTTAATGAACAGGGGATCCTTTCCCCATTGCTTGTTTTTGTCAGGTTTGTCAAAGATCAGATGGTTGTACATGTGCAGTGTTATATCTGAGGCCTCTGTTCTGTTCCATTGGTCTATATGTCTGTTTTGGTACCAGTACCATGCTGTTTTGGTTACTGTAGTCTTATAGTTTGAAGTCAGGTAGTGTGATACCTCCAGCTTTGTTCTTTTTGCTTAGGATTGTCTTGGTTATGCGGGCTCTCTTTGGGTTCTGTATGAAATTTAAGTAGTTGTTTTTCAATGCAGTGAAGAAAGTCAATGGCACCTTGATGGGGATTGCATTGAATCTATAAATTATTTTGGGCAGAATGGCCATTTTCACAATATTGATTCTTCCTACCCATGAGCATGAACTATTTTTCCATTTGTTTGTGTCCTCTCTTATTTCCTTGAGCAGTGGTTTGCAGTTCTCCTTGAAGAGGTCTTTCACATCCCTTGTAAGTTGTATTCCTAAATATGTTATTCTCTTTTTAGCAATTATGAATGGGAGTTCGCTCATGATTTGGTTCTCAATTTGTCTGTTACTGGTGTACAGGAATGCTTGTGATTTTTGCACATTGATTTTGTATCCTGAGACTTTGCTGAAGCTGCTTATCAACTTAAGGAGATTTGGGGCTGAGACGATGAGGTTTTCCAAATGTACAATCATGTCATCTGCAAATAGAGACACTTTGACTTCCTCTTTTCCTATTTGACTACCCTTTATTTCTTTCTCTTGCCTGATTGCTCTGGCCAGAACTTCCAATACTATGTTGAATATGAGTGGTGAGAGAGGGCATCATTGTCTTGTGCCAATTTTCAAAGGGAATGCTTTCCAGTTTTTGTCCATTCAGTATGATATTGGCTGTGGGTGTCTCATAAATAGCTCTTATTATTTTGAGATACATTCCATCAATAACTAGTTTACTAAGAGTTTTTAGCATGAAAGGCTGTTGAATTCTGTCAAAGGCCTTTTCTGCATCTATTGAAATAATCATGTGGTTTTGTCATTGGTTCTGTTTATGTGAATTATGTTTATTGATCTGTGTATGTTAAACCAGCCCTGCATCCCAGGGATGACGCCAACTCGATCATGGTGAATAAGTTTTTTGATGTGGTGCTGGATTCAGTTTGCCAGTATTTTATTGAGGATTTTTGGATCAATGTTTATCAGGGATATTGGCCTGAAATTTTCTTTTTTTGTTGTTGTGTATCTGTCAGGTTTTAATATCAGGATAATGCTTGTTTCATAAAATGATTTGGGAAGAATTCCCTTTTTTTGGATTGTTTGGAATAGCTTCAGAAGGAATGATACCAGCTCCTCTTCAAACCTCTGGTAGAATTTGGCTGTGAATCCGTTCTGGTCCTGACCTTTTTTTGGTTGGTATGCTACTAATTACTGCCACAATTTCAGAACTTATTGGTCTATTCAGGGATTTGACTTCTTCCTGGTTTAGTTTTTGGGAGGGTGTATGTGTCCAGGAATTTATCCATTTCTTCTAGATTTTCTAGTTTATTTGCATAGAGGTGTTCATAGTATTCTCTGATGATAGTTTGTGTTTACATGGGATCAGTGGTGATCTCCTCTTTATTATTTTTATTGTGTCTATTTGATGCTGCTCTCTTTCTTCTTTATTAGTCTGGCTAGTGGTGTATTTTGTTGATTTTTTCAAAAAAACAGCTCCTGGATTCACTGATTTTTTGAAGGGTTTTCCATATCTCTATTTCCTTCAATTCTGCTCTGATCTTAGTTATTTCTTGTCTTCTGCTAGCTTTTGAATATGTTTGCCCTTGCTTGTCTAGCTCTTTTAATTGTGATGTTAGGATGTC